CCTATCAAGGTTGAACCAGGGGCTGAGGAGTGTATTGTCCCTTAGCAGGGACACTAGCTCACAACAGCATACTGATGTCCCTAAAGTTGATATATGGGACACAGGGAAGGCTATAGAGCAGGAGTTCAGGCTGTTCCCCAACCCGACCAGGAAAGGGTTGAAGGACAGGATTGATAACCAAGTATGGAACTTGCTCCGGATCATACAGGAACGAGTTGACCAGGGAACCTATAATAATACAGATATAAGACTAGTAGATGGATTACAGGCCATATCTGTTGCTAGTGTCCCTGCTAAGGGACAATACACTCCTCAGCCCCTGGTTCAACCTTGATAGGCTTTGGACTGCATCTCGGAGTACCTGTGTAGCATCCTTCTCAACATCCTCTGGAGCATCCTCAGTCACATTCTCGTCCTCTGAAGCTGGGACAGTGATAATGGGAGGATCTGTACCCTTGCAGGGCGAGGACACCCAGTTACTTATCTCCTGATTCAATCCTTGTAATTCCTGGGTTACTTCTCTATCAAGTTCCTCCAGTTCCTCAAAGACATCCTGCATAGCCTGCATTGTCTTGGATAGATCCTCATCGTCATGATCCTTATCTTTGTCCTCTACAACTTCCTCAGCTACGTCTTCATCCTCTGGTTCCTGTTCCTCGATGTAGGCAGGGTTCCACACAATGACTGGAATAATGTTCATCTTCTTATATCTCGTCCAGAAAGGTTCTCTCTGTATGCTGTCTGTGCACTGATTTAGCACAGGTCCCTGGACGGCTATGTGCAGGGAGACTTGTGTCTACTCTGCAGCGGTCCGGGATGTACTGATTTCTCTGGCTTCCTGTTGGATTCAAGGGACTGTTCACTCATATACCGAACCATCCAGAATACAACAATATCTCCCTGAGCTAACCACTATATCTGGAATAAACTATGCTGACATACAACTCGTGGAATATATTGACATCTTCCCATGGGAGTTCATCATTGGAAATAAGATGTTATCTAATGATTATTGTGCAATGAAATCCAAGTTGAACTTCTTCCACATGGGTGATCCAACGCCCAACTTTGAAGAAGAAATGGATCAAAATGAATCAAAAATAGCCAAACACAAGAGATCCTCACCAGAAACGCCCACAAAATTAGAAAAGAAAACAACTGCATTTCTAGCAATGAAAAACAGAAAACTAACTCCAATTAAGCCACGTTTACTGGAGTTATTCACTCTAGAAATCAATCAATCAAGAATTGAAGACAAAAAGATTGAAGGCTTTTCTAAGATACATGACAGCTCGGAGAATCTAAACCTGGAAAATCTGGAGAACGAGATTGGGGGGGATAGCAGACCTCAACAAGCCTCAATCTGTAAAGAGAGGGCCGCACCAACACAAAAAGGACACTACCACTCTATCCATGAAAGCTGCTTCAGCTCTCTACAACAAAGTAATTGCTTTTAAAAGATAAGTCAAAATCTTTAAATCCACATTGATTTGAACATAAACATTTTGTGAAAAATTTAAAGTATGTAATTACAGTATCTGGTATATCTCATCGCTCAATAGTGCAGTCTAAAAAAGAAAAAATAAGAACAAATTTTTGGGCTGGTTTATAGAGTCTTGTTGAATAACCTCTATTTGCATTCTCAGCATGACGACTTCTGGGTCTGCTTCTTCTTTTCCTCCATATATTATTTCTGGTTGTGGATTCATGTTGGCGATTTCATCCTGAAGAAGAAGGTACGAAGTTGATATTCATGTTGATGGTTTATTCATGACCTCTTCATGTTTAGAATTAAGCTTCAATTTTGGGATTGGGATTTCTGGGATTGGGCGATTCAGAATCCTTCCTTTGTTGTCGGTGTTGAGTATTCCTTGTTGGTATCTATTGCTCTCATAATAGTTTCTGGAAGTTGCAATATTCTTGTGTGGTTTAGGGTAGGCTTGCTCTCCCTTCCTCTCTCTTATAAGCAGTCTATTTGCGCCTGTAGCAAACTGATTATTCTTGTTGTCTGTTTTCTTCTGAGCCACCTTTCTGGGGTCACCATGAGCTGCTGCAGCGCTCCGTCCCGCTTCAAGGTTTCCTTACAGTTTTCCTGTGTTTATTTCAAACCAGGCAACATTCTCATATTCTCGTCCTTTTATCTGCTGATTGGCTACATATCCAAGAATTGTAGCTTTTGTTGATTTTATAGTCTTCTGCTGATATACATATGCTAGAGTTCCAGAGTTAGCTTCATACTTTACAGTTTGTACAAAGGTAGGTACAAAGGTACCATTCTCCCTCATATTGACCAGCTCGTTTTTGAGCTTAGCCAAGAGTGGCCTGTATGATTTTGGTGCAACTTGTTCCACTATTATCAAGGAAGCGAGTTTTCTTTCTGGAGAGTTGGGGGAAAGTTCTCTTTCCCAATTTATCTTCATTCTGATAGCATTTCTTACCATGGATTTTGAATCATGCTTGATCCACAGGGTCATATACTCTCCATCAGAGGTCGCCAATATCCATTGGAATTGATTTGCTGAATCAACTTTTAGTTTTTCGTGGGCTAAAGATTTCATCATGGACAGAATTCTCTTGATCATTATTTGTTCGCTAACCTCATGAATTAGTCCTTCACCTTCCTCCTTCTCCTCCTTCTTGGTGATCTTCTCTTGTTGGTTCTTTACAGGGATGTTAGATCCTGAACCATGTTTTCAAGCTTTTCGATTTTATCATTAGCAGGGTTCACACCAGTTCCCATCTTTTTAAAACCAATTGCACACGCCCCAGCAAACAACGATAGAGAATTCTGGATTCCATCGAATGCCGCTTGGCAGTTATAAGATGTCATGGTTGCCTGTAGGCTTATGAAATCTTCACTTATTATATTTTGTTTGTTTATATAACTTGTGAACGTTTGGTATCTTATACACTGTATATATCGGAGGGATGAATCAGATTTGTGAGCGATCAAGCCAAGCCTGTGATGTCACTTCTTCCTCTGATAGAATCTGGAGGTTTATTTTGTCTTTTTGATCATTTAGACTTATTGTTTTCTAAATCATGATTTCAAATCGAACTTGAGAGACTGATCTGAAGATATCACGCTTGAATTCAAACAATTATCTCATACCTTTACACTAAAATCACTGTAAAAAACCTCCAATATAACAACAGAGATGTTTGCACTGCTTGGTGTCAGGTCAACTAGTAGATTTCTAGTAAATAAAATCTGTTTACCCAAAGGATAATACATTAAATCTACATGACTTCTAACTCTTTTTAAAATCTTACTTTTCAAAGGTTAAGTTGATCTTCCATTAAATATTAGTAAATGCTAATCAAGAACGCGGCTAATGGGGATTGTAAAAGTAAAATTTAGGATTTCTGTTGGACTGTGAGCGTAATATTAAGCGACCCTCCATGCAAAGGTATTAATTCTGATAAACAACGGTTTCCTTGAAACCTTTATTTGATCAATAAAAGTGTTAATATCTGATAACTTCTATATGATTTCCTAAAAATAATAATTGTCTAAAAATAATGATTTTTGGATTTACATTGATATCCAATTCAAACTTGATCTGACATAATGGCACCATTGTGTATTGGGCATTGTTATATGCAGTGCAAGGGGTAAAATATCAACCAAAAACTGCAATACAAACTCTTTTACTCCTATAACCCAAATCTGAAGTTTAAAAAAAAAAGGGAGATTATAAATTTCCTCATTTCTGAATGGTTTTAGGATAAAAAGCGAATAAAATAAAACTTAAAAAATTTTAAAATTACTTTTTGTTAAGAAAAATTCAGGAATTCTTAAAGAAATGCCCTGGATCCAGATCTATTTTTAAATGGATTCTAAGCACTGGTTATATGTTAGCATGTAGACTTTAATTTAAGCTTTCTCTAAGTTTAACAACGTTAACCATAAACCTTCTCCTTTCTGGTTTTTATATCTAGAAAATTCTGTCTATAGCCTTTCTTGTCTTTGCTGAAAACAAATTCGCAAATTATATTTAAAGTGAAACTGAAATATTACAAAAAATGTTGTTGCTCAAAAAACTCCTGAAGGATATTGCTGTGAATTAGGCATGAATGGAACTTTGAAGTACACTGAGAGTTCCTTTAAAAAATAAAAGTTTAGAGGTGATCAAAGCCATAATTTTTGTTACTGATCATATTGCTCGAAAATGTTTTTTTTTTGAAATCATTAAAATCCCAGCACTTTTTCGTTGGAGGTATTGAAAACATAAACAAAAATTTTGATTTATGAACCATAATACTGAAATGAATAGAATTAGTAAGTTGGGATTTTTTATCTTTAAAGACTACTTCCCGACCCGCCCCCCCCCACACTTTATTATCAAGGATTATAACAGTAGCCTTATCAAGTATTAAGTATTCGACGCATAAATTGAGGATGATGAGTTTATACTGGATTTTGTTGAATATTATTCAAATATTTGTATAATAATGTAATAATAATAATAATTGCTTTGTATAATAATTTTGTTAATTGCACTTACTTAAGTTAATAGTATTTAGTAAAGATTAACATCAAACGATTACTTAAAGCAAATTATTGCCTTAATGTTAGCATTTAAATTTTTTTATGTTATTCACCAATTTATTTTCGAGTCTTTGACTTGTCAATAATAGTTATGATAGAAATCCACAAATTTATTTCTAGTAAATTAAGGTGTTTATTAGAAGGTTTTCAATGGAACTACTCCAAATTTGTAAAAACACATCTTGAATTAATTTGCATCTTGAATTTGCATTAGAACTGTTAACAGTCCCTTTTAGTTATCTATGAAAGCAAATACAATGAGATAAAAATTCTTCAGTCCTTAGTCTACTTAAACATTTTAACAACATTTGAGTTCATAGATTTTAATTTAATAAGCTAATTTTGATGTTGATTTAGTACCTTCAAGTTGTTAAATATTTCTTGGGTTAAGATTTATGTGACTAACTGACATGAAAAGAAATTTTGTTGATATATTTTTATTTTCAGATTTAAATTTTACTATGGCAGCACCCGAGCCCATGAAAAGACTTTTCGCCAAGGTAGAATTATGATTTACTTAAAGTTTTTTTTCGAGTTTTGATCTTGGTTTATATAAATAGTAATAAGTCATTTTTTATCCAGATCATGATATCTGGTCTGCTGGGACATATCTGAGCTAAGATTTTAAAAGCTTTTACCTGAGTAAAACCTGGACTCGACCTCAGTTAAGGCCCAAGTCAGGATTGGTTCTTATTTGACCAATGAGAGACTGCCTAGAAAGCATTCTCTAAATCGCAGACATGATCAGCTGTGATAAGGAAATGTAAATTTCGCAAATTTGACTATACAAATAATTCACAAGATTTAAAATTGAAAAGGACGGTAAGACCGGGTTTTATTCTGGTTTAAGCTTGTAAAATCTCAGCTCTGGTCTGTTTCTTATAAATCATGATATTTTGTCTGATTTATGATATAGGATAGACAGTGTACAGTGTACAGACAATGATATAGGATAGACAGTGTACAGTGTACAGACATTTGTACTAGAACCCTTAAAAAGATTGATTGGGAAAATACCTGTTACAAGATAAAGCAAAATTAAAAATGCTTTTTTGACCTTGAAAGAAGTCTGCCTATTCTTTAACTTTGCCAGGAGCACAGGCCTTTTTCTGATACATCAGCCAATGTAGATCTTTATATTTTCCTTTGTGAAACCTAATCTTTAACTTTGCCAGGAGTACAGGTCTTTTTTGATACATCAGTCAATGTAGATCTTTATATTTTCCTTGTACAGCCTAACCTTTAACTTTGTCAAGAGCACAGGCCTTTTCTGATACATCAGCCAATGTAGATCTTTATATTTTCCCTTGTGCAGCCTAACCTTTAACTTTGTCAAGAGCACAGGCCTTTTTTGATACGTCAGCCAATGTAGATCTTTATATTTTCCCTTGTGAAACCTGATTTTCCTAGAAACATTTTTCCTTAAACAATTTTAAATTTTTAACACTTTTTTTCTGTCTGTTTTTTCTTCTTATATTTATGCGCCATATATGTGTGTTTAGATTGATGAGAATAAGAAGAAGTATATAGATAACCTGGCCAAGGCTGTAGCGATCAAGTCTGTGTCTGCCTGGCCGGAAACTAGAGATGAGATTGGTAAAATGATGAAGGTAGACACTTAAAACTGGTACCATATTTAATTTTACCCGTGCCATATGGAGACTGTTAATTTAGGAGAATTTTTCAATTTTTGAGAGTTTCAACTTTGGTAAAGTGTAAATTTTAATTTTGGAAAATGTTAATTTGGAAAACTGTAGAATGTAGATTTTGGAAAAAATTTGGAAAATGCGATTTTTAGTTATATTCATTAGGTTTTTGAGAATCTCAATTTCTGAAAAAATTCTAAGGAAAAAATGTTAATTCTGTTTGTTCTAGTGGATGGGTGAGGAACTGAAGAGCCTAGGTGCAGAGATTGAATATGTTGATATCGGAACTCAAACACTTCCGGATGGGAAGGTAACAGTGTAATGTCTTTTGTCAAATCAAATCAAAAAATTAATCATTTTCATTTCAGTGCTTAGGATTCGGATCCGTTGGATCCGCAAGATTTTGGCTTCCTGGATCCGAATTCGGATCTGCAAAAGTATGCGGATCCACGGATCTGGATCCAAGGGGTAAAATATCTTGAACAAAACTGCTGAAAAAAAATTTTTGCTCCTAAAACCCAAATCTGAACTTTTGAAAAAAAGAGAGATTATAAAAATTTCCTCATTTCTGAATGGTTCATTAAGTTTTTAGATAAAAATAAAACAAAAAATTTTAAAATTATTTTTTGTCAAAAAAATTAAGTAAATCTTAAAGAAATAACCTGGATCCATTTTTTTCCAGTGGATCCGTATCAAAATTAAATGGATCTTAAGCACTCATTTTTATGATTTATAGGAAATGTCAAAATGAATTCAGATACAGCTAAAACCCCATTTTTCAATCGGGACTTGAAACTCCAGGCTGATGAATGAAACCTAAAGCTTGCCCTTAAACTTATGATTTGATTCGAGTCGAGTCGAGTCGAGTCGAGTCGAGTCGAGTCGAGTCGAGTCGAGTCGAGTCGAGTCGAGTGGGGTCTAGTCAAGTCGAGTCGATTTGATTTGATTTGATAGAACGTGTGGCGAGTGTACAGTTTCCAGTTATTAAAATATGCATTGTTGCAGGTTCTGAAATTACCCCCTGTTCTAATGGGTGAACTGGGAAAGGTGAGGAAATAAAATAAATACTAAAAAAATTCATTTATTTTAAGGTTTAAAGCCTAAAAAAAAACTTTTAAAAGAAATTTAAGCGTAATTTTAAGTGAACTTTCAATTCAAATTTCAAAATTTCAAACGGTAGTATTCGAAACTTTGTCTGATGAAATATGAATTAGATTCACGGTGTCCCATGAAACATGACAATTGGAAGACGACTTGAAAGACGTCTTTGGTATTTGAATTTATTTGTGACATTTAGTCTTCTATCTACTTTAACATGTATGATTCTTGAAACAATTATCACATAATTCTCCTAGCCCTGGCATTTCCATAAAGTGGTCTGCGTGTTTTGTGCTTTCAATATAATTTTTTTCAGATTTAAATTTTTTTAAATAAAGGCAAAATTGTCAAAATCTGAACGAAATTCTTCATATCTTGGGCAATATTGAAAGCACATAAATGGCAGACCACATTTTGGAAATGCCAGGACTATGGGAATTTTGTGATTGTTATCTCTAGAATTTTTCTTCTAAAATTAGGTTGACAAATAAATCCAGCAAATTATATAAAAAATCAAGACGGTTTTTCACGTCGTCTTGCATACTATCATGTTCATAATTTTGAAAACGTATAGGAATTATCAGATTTAAACACTTTGAAACAAAGAAAAACAACAATATCTTACACATTATTGATCAGATCAATGGTAACGTTGTGAATTGTGCATTGCCATCTTTAAATAGAGGGTCCCTTGAAACAGTCCTTTCAAGTAAAACTTAACCAAATGGTTTAGTGTCTTTTCAATGTTATTATTTTTCATTCTTTATTGATTATCAATTATGATACAAAATCAATTTTCAATTTTCCAGAATGTAAAAATTTACATAGATAATATATAACCATTTTTTCGATTTTTCTACAAACAAATGTTTGTATATGTGCCCTGATCTCTAGGACCCTGCTAAAAAGACGCTGTTAGTGTACGGACATCTGGACGTTCAGCCGGCGGCCTTGGAGGATGGTTGGGATACAGAACCCTTTGTTCTCACCGAGGTTAATGGCAAGCTCTACGGTCGAGGATCTACCGACGACAAGGTAAACAAAGATCTTCCTTTGCTGAGTACCATCATGGATTAACAATGATGCTCCTTAATTCTTTTTTTTCTAGAAATTATTAAAAGCTTGCGGATTTTTAAAAATGAGACTCAGGGATTTTTAAATACAGCCTAGCTAATAACAAATACACCTTGCATACTCTTTTCAAACATGTGATTTAAGGAGGAGAGTGGGGGGGGGGGGTGTTTATCTATCAATTATATCCCCTTTATATTTTCAGGGACCTGTCCTAGGTTGGATTCATGCTCTGCAGGCTTACCAGGAGTGTAATATTGACCAGCCTGTCAACTTCAAGTAAGCTAATATTATGTTACAGTATAGTACAGAACAGAACAGTACAGAACAGAACAGAACAGAACAGAACAGAACAGAACAGAACAGAACAGAACAGAACAGAACAGAACAGAACAGAACAGAACAGAACAGAACAGAACAGAACAGAANAGTTCTCAGTGGACTGAAATCCAAGAATGTTTGAATTTGAATTAATATTGACTAAATTAAAAAATGTATTGACAATTATTGTTGATTTCTGTTGTATATCTGACAACTACTGTAAATTGTTGTCTTCAGGTTGATTTCTGTTGTATATCTGACAACTACTGTATATTTGTTGTATTCAGGTTGATTTCTGTTGTATATCTGACAACTACTGTATGTTTGTTGTATTCAGGTTAATTTCTGTTGTATATCTGACAACTACTGTATATTTGTTGTATTCAGGTTGATTTCTGTTGTATATCTAACAACTACTGTATATTAGTTGTATTCAGGTTGATTTCTGTTGCATATCTGACAACTACTGTATATTGTTGTCTTCAGGTTGATTTCTGTTGTATATCTGACAACTACTGTATATATTTGTTGTATTCAGGTTGATTTCTGTCGTTTATCTGACAACTACCGTATATTTGTTGTCTTTAGGTTGATTTCTGTCGTATATCTGACAACACCGTATATTTGTTGTCTTTAGGTTAATTTCTGTTGTATATCTGACAACTACTGTATATTTTTTGTTTTTACTCTTTAGGTTGATTTCTGTCGTATATCTGACAACTACCGTAAATGTATTGTCTTTAGGTTGATCTCTGTCGAATATCTGATAACTACTGTATATTTGTTGTCTAGGTTCATTTCTGTTGTTGACAAGTACATACAACTGTATATCTGACAACTGCTGTATAATTGGTGTCTTTAGGTTGATTTCTGTTGTATATCTGACAACTACTGTATATTTGTTGTCTTTAGGTTGATTTCTGTCGTATATTTGTTGTCTTTAGGTTGATTTCTGTTGTATATCTGACAACTGCTGTATATTTTTATCTTTACTCTTTGGGTTGATTTCTGTCATATATCTGACAACTACTGTAAATGTGTTGTATTTAAATGTGTTCTGTCGAATATCTGATAACTACTGTAAATTTGTTGTCTAGGTTCATTTCTGTTGCTTACAACTATATACAACTGTATATCTGACAACTGATGTATAATTGGTGTACTTAGGTTGATTTCTGTCGTATATCTGACAACTACTGTACATTTGTTGTCTTTATGTTGATTTCTGTTGTATATCTGACAACTACCGTATATTTGTTGTCTTCATGTTGATTTCTGTTTTATATCTGACAACTACTGTATATTGGTTGTCTTAGGTTGATTTCTGTCGTATATCTGTAAACTACTGTATATTTGTTGTCTTCAGATGGATTTCTGTTGTATATCTGACAACTACCGTATATTTGTTGTCTTTAGGTTGATTTCTGTTGTATATCTGACAACTACTGTATATTTGTTGTCTTCAGGTGGATTTCTGTTGTATATCTGACAACTAATGTATATTTGTTGTCTTCAGGTTGATTTCTGTTGTATATCTGACAACTACTGTATATTTGTTGTATTCAGGTTGATTTCTGTTGTATATCTGACAACTACTGGCTGGGGAAGGAGAAGCCCTGCCTAACCTATGGACTACGGGGGGTCTGCTACTTCTTTATTGAGGTCGAGTGCGCGGCAAAGGTAATATTAAGGACAATAGACTGTGTAGACATATTAAAGGCTAGAAAGTGCAACATTTCTCTAAAGCGGGTTCGATGAGTTCATATCATAAATGAACAGTTTTGTTAATGGGAAAATTATACCTCATTCTTGGGAGCTGAATTTGATTTGATTTTAACATATTTGAATTGATTTATTTGATTTTTAAGGACCTACACAGCGGTGTGTTTGGTGGAACTGTGAGTGAAGGTATGGCGGACCTGATGTGGATGATGAACCAGTTGGTGGACGGGGAGGGGAACATACTCGTTGAGGGTCTCATGGACAGGTTTAAAATCTAATTTTCTAACTAGTTCCCTCCCCCCTTCCTTTCAGTTTTAATTTTGGAATTAATATTTCATGGAATGCTGGATGGAGTCGTAATAAAAGAAACTCGGAATTTATCCAGAAATAAATAAAGTTCCAATTAATTTTAGATTTCTTTGAAAAATAAATATCTAACAATACGCGGCATTAAGTTGATTTAAAATGTGTATGCGAGAAATTTAAAACACACAAATAGATGAATTAAATATTTTAGTGTTGCGCCACTCACTGATGCTGAGTCTGCTAAATACGACAACATTGATTTCGACCCTGAGGAGTACAGGAAGGATATTGGGGCACCANACACAACCTTAGATGGGTAAAATAATAATAAACAAGTTACCAGCAAGAGCTATAAAAGTTTGATTCTATCCTATTCTTTGATTTTTGGTTCAAAACAAGTTTTCATTACGTTACTTTCGTAGTTGTTATCATTATATATGAAGTTGAAATCTCTGTTTGTCTCTCTATTTGTTTGTTTGCCCAATCATAACTCATGAACCCTCTGGGCCGAGTTGCCTCAAATTTTAAAGAGGGAAAAATAGCTAAAATCGTAAATTACGACCAAGTGCGGGTAAACGGCGGAAGTAAGTATGAGTAACATGGGCAACGTTGGGTTCCCAAGCTAGTTGAACTGTATAGTGTTATTGTAAATAAACAATATAGTTACAGAATATTTTAGTTTAGACAAAGCTTCCTTGTCCTTGAGCAAGGCTGTCAGTTATAACAACTACCAAGCCTTCTTTACAAATTTTACTTTCGCCTTTGTTTAAAATAGTTTAAATGCTGTTCTAATTACGTCACCCTATGTCCGTACAATTATATTCATAGTAGTATCGGGGTTGAAAGTATATATAAGGGCATGAAAGTACTCTTTATGCGCCAGTGTGAACTTTGTCAAGTTTTTGTGTACGTGTACTACGTAGTTCAGAAATGTGTACTGTATTTGGGGTGTTATAAGATGTAAATATCAGTAATCAATATAAGAGATAAATTATTATATACAGAAAAAATACATTCTGTAAAATGTTTTTTTTTCTACAACTTGACATCATACTCTAATTGTTTACAAAAACAACATGGTAAATTTCTGTCCCTAATATCAATCGATCATTATTGGGGATCTAATTTGATGGTATTTTATGGGCCCCTGCCTCCCCTTCGTTCTACTCATATTGGTTCTTAGGTTCAAGGGTGATAAGAAATCCATCCTCATGGCCAGATGGAGATATCCTTCCCTCTCCCTTCATGGAATACAGGTACATAACCCACTGCACGATCTTACCAGGCTACATTTGTTGCATAACATCTGATGGGTCGACTCTACGCTGGGTAGTCCAGACTGGAAAGCACGACTGAATTTATATACAGAACATTTACATGTTGTATCGGCTCGGATTATGCAACTTTTAGACTGAATTTATGTACAGTACATTTACATGTTGTATCGGCTCGAATCATGCAACTTTTAGAGTGAGGGGAACTGGGAATAAGAACTTGGTTTTCTATTATTACCCGTAGTCCAAATTTGAAATAACAAGCTAGCAAATGAACAACTGGGGAAATTTAACTATAAGTATTTTTATCTTTATATTCCTCTACTTTTTCTTGTAGGGAGCTTTTGCTGATGCTGGTGCTAAGACTGTGATTCCAAGGAAGGTTTGTATTTAGGGCTTTAAGCCATTATAGATTTGAAAAATTGATTTTTGAAAAATTTGGGGAGTGGATGAAATCTTCAAAAGAAAATTTTTTAAATTGTATTACTAAGGTGAAATGTGGGATGTGCATCAGCCTTGCCACTGGGCTGCTATACAGTATTTATGAATTATTTTTATTTTTAATTTTATTTTATTTTTAAAGCTAAATATGTTTGTAAATTTACACATTTCACTTTTATTCTATCCTATTATAAAGCTTGGTAACTAACCACCACTACCCTAGGATGATCATTTTAGGTATTTTATCCGATAGTTCAAAGAAGGTTTTTTGGGGAGGATTTTTTTTGCCTGGTTTATTGGATCCATAATTTACCAGATTCTCTATTCAAAATAGAACTGGGATGTATATGTATAGCAGTAACCCGTCCATAGGCTGATGATTAAGGATTCTTCTAAGGCCTTCTTCGAAAGTAGAACCTAACCTAACCTAACCTAACCTAACCATTTCAATATCAAACTTTTTCGAAATCTTTTTGACGCCTTTCCCAATAATATCAGTTATTATTTCAAAAGTTCAATTTTGCAATTAAATACATCAGAAGTTTTCCAGCCTAGTGGGGAGGAAGGATTATTGAAGGATCGTTGAAGGAAGGGGTGGGGGGTGGCCTCAAGGTTTTTATTTTACAATTACTCATAATAAGTTTACAATTCTCCAAATAGTCCTTTTATCTTTGTCAAAGCTGCAGAATCTGTCTAAAACTTTCCTTCTCCAACTTGATTTGATTTGATTTGATTTGATTTGATTTGATTTGATTTGATTTGACTCAAATGGGGGGAAAAAAACATAATGGAAAGTGTATAATGTATATTGTTTAAAGTCATTTTTTGCTTTGGATACAACAATCGTGGAAATATTTTTGGTTTTAATAGCAGTTTCTTTTCTAGGTTATTGGTAAGTTTTCGGTCCGAATTGTTCCAAACCAAACTCCAGAAATAGTGGAGAAGGTCGTCGTTGATTACTGTAACAAGATATGGGCAACAAGGAAGTCAGAGAATAAGGTTAGATTCTCCTTTTTTGTGAACAGTCTCTTTGATAAAGATATAGTGTAATGATTGATATTGTAGATGGTTGCTTCCATGTTCCACGGAGGACGTTGCTGGCTTTCTGATCCTGATCATCCGAACTATATTGCTGGATCCAAGTAATCATCTTTAATGTCATCATCAGTTCCTGCTTAGCATTGATTATTGTTTTAGTCATCCTCTTGATCGACATTTTGATCATCATTTTGATCATCTTGTTCTCAATTTTTTATCAAAATTTTTAATCATTTTAATCATTATTTAAATCATCATTTTGATCATCATCTTAATCTTAATGATTATCTTGAACCTCATTTTGATCATCATCTAGATCATTATCTAGATCATCATCTAGATCATCATCTAGATCATAATCTTGATCATCATCTTGATCATCATCTTGATCATCATCTTGATCATCATCTTGATCATCATCTTGATCATCATTTTGATCATCATTTTGATCATCATCTTGATCATCATCATGATCATTATCATGATCATTATCATGATCATCATCTTGATAATCATTGTAATCATTGTTTGTATTATTATTTTAATCATAATTTTTTTCATTATTTGGATTAGTATATTCATAATCATATAGAGCGGTATCTTAAATAAACTGATTAATTTTAATCCAGAGCCACTAAGATGGTTTATGGAGTAGAGCCAGATCTAACTAGAGAGGGAGGATCTATCCCTGTTACTTTAACCCTCCAGGAAGCTACAGGTTAATTCATTAATATATTAATTAATTTATCATTTGATCATCATTCATTGATTTATTGACGTCGAAGCAAAAAAAATATTTGAATCTTGAAGGTGAAATAGTTTTCCGAGAAAAATATGGAATAAATTGATTGATTTAAATCCAGGTAAAAATGTGATACTGCTTCCAATGGGAGCAGCAGATGATGGTGCACACTCCCAGAATGAGAAGATCGACATCAGGAAAAAAAATCATCCAAATAAATATGGTAAACTCTGAGCAATTTTAGAAAGTCATTTTTTTAAATAAAGAGTTTAAGAAAGTCGAATTAAAGTGTTAGAGTAAAGTTTGTTGTTCTGATACATTTTTTCAAGTTTGTATCAACTATTTTAGTTCAATACATTTTTCAAGTCAAATTAGGATTAGGTTTGACAATTTTTCAAATTCTAATATTTTTTCAGTCAAATTAAATCTGAAATCTAAAAGTCAATTTTTTCCAAATTCTAGAGTCGAATTTTAAATTTTTCTAATCAAAACTGAAAAAAGATTTTCACTTTTTTGTTCAGATTTTGCTATTGCATTGGCTTGATTTTTGATATGTCAGGAATTACATCGAAGGTACAAAACTGCTTGGAGCCTATGCTTACGAACTGTCCCAACTTTAACTTGAGGACATTTGCTGTCATAATTTTGACATCTTTCATTTTGTCCAGCAATAGCGCTGTCATGCAAACTCGAGATATTTTTTGGAGATTTTCATTGATTAAAGGGCTTTTATTGCTCTTACGTAAATCCCTTTTGTGATATTAAATGTGATTGAATTTATTTTTATTGGCAATTTTAGATAAATAAAATACTCCAACTAATTTTGAAACTAGTTTTATGTTGGTTTATGTCGTTCAGCAAGTATTTTATAAAATGAAACTTGCTAAATATCATTATTTTTTCATTAATTGCATGGAGGGGAGGAAGGCCAGCCACAACTATGTCTCATCCGAGCCACGTTCTCCTCATTTTCTCGTCCGAGCCATCCTCAAATTCTCGTCCTTCCATTATTATGTTTTTAAAGTGTCAAATCCGCGAAGATAAACTATTTTTTAAATATCTGGCCACGTTAGGGCAAACAATACCACATTTAATTTCCATGTTTATTGAGACACCCTGTATAGATGCTAGATGGCGGTTGGATCTTTCTGTGTAGATTATAAATACATTAGTTCTGTGTTAAAGTTTATTGGGGTGTTAGTAAGCAAACGACTAATCGTTCATAGTTTGAAAAATGGCAGAAACACAAAAATAAGAATTTTTTACAATGTACTTCTTATGTTTAATATGCGTATAATAATAAGCTTCATGTTTTAGAGATTATAGATATAAATTGCTGAAATATCGAGGGAAAAATATATAAAATTTGATAATGCAAGACTACCCAGATAAGATGAGACTGTATCTGAAATTATCTCAAGGTTGAATTAAATCTTCCGCCTGAGATATACAGGGTGTTCCACAAAGGATGAGACTTAAGAGACGATTTTAAGGATTTGATTAGTCCGTTTTCTTATATTCAGAGTGATTCAGGGTTAATTGCAGGCCAAAACTGGCTTATCAAGTAAACAATTGAAATGCTCAACTGGATGGAGAAACAAAAAAATCACGCTTTAAATCGTCACATTTTTGAATTTTTGGGTCGTCTTTAAAGTCTCATCTTGTTTGGGTAACCCTGTATATTCTTAAAATTGCTTATTTAATGATTGTATTCAGAAAAAATTAAGTTTACAATTGCATGAAAATCATGAATATAAGAAAGCAGTTAATTTAAATCGTTACTGTAGTCTCATCTGTCGTGGGTAGGTTGGACGAAAAAATGACTTTGAGGCATAATTTACGGTCCGGAGTGAAAACTGGTGCAGAATGCTTTACCTCCCTCGTTGGGACTTGTGCTAATAGCTAAGACATTCAATTGTGAGTTGAAACAAGCTGACTGACTTGCTACTAATATATTTGAGAAGCAATCCAGCCACAATATATCAAACTTTCATTTTGATCAAAAAAGGATGATTATTACATGATCATTAAATTTTCGATCATTACAATAATGTAAAATTGCGAAGAGGCTTGAAAAGACAACTGTTTGGTTGCGATCATCAATCATACACTGTCTAATTAGGTTATATGATCAGAAAGACGATCGTGATGATAACATGATCGATCCTTATACACCACAGACTAGCGTCGATCTTTTTGATCTAAATGATGGTTAAATATCCAATCAGATACTGTCAAACTTGCGCAGATGATAAGAAATACGATTGTTACAATTTTTACATGTTTACAAGATTGTCGAAAATCAATCATTATACACAGTCAAACCAGCATAGATGATTAGAAACACGATTGTCTTAATGAGAAATACTATTTGAGCAAGAAAATTATAAAGTTCCTTTTTCCCCATCGCCCTGAGCTTGTCCTGGAGTTAGAGATGGACATAGTTTTTTTTCAAGAAAACGACATTTTTCGTGTAGGATGGTGTCGTTAAGAGAAAAAAGCGAATGACTTGGATATTTCTGAGAAACGAAACGCTATCTTTTTTCTGAGTCAAGCGAAAAAAAAATTGAACGATTATTCAGTGAGAAAACGAACGAAATTGATGAAAATAAACAATACTTTTGAGAAAGAACGAAAAAAATTTTGTAAAAGATTGAAAAAAAAGAACGAAATGGGTCGTCACAAACGATAAATGAACGAAATGAAAAAAACCGAATTTGTCCATCTCTACCTGGAGCTGGTAGGATAAAGTGGTTTCCTTGGGGTTAACTCGTTTCACCCTTCTACTCCACATCATCGGCTAAGCAAAGATTTTATTTATAATTTTTTAAAGATTTTTTTTTATGACTTTATTAGAACTAATTTTTGGAATAATGGAAATTTTAAAAAAACTGCTAAGCTAATTGATAAACAATTATCCTAGGATCAAATTTAATGATTTTGATCTACGTCGCTGAATGGCCTACTTCCGGTTAAATTTTCAACCATCGATTTAAAGTTGAAGAGTCAGGAAGGTTTTGATTCGGTGATTAAATTTTGAACCAGTGGTTAGCAGTTCAGCGACCCTTGAATTCATTAAACTCGGTCCCTAGTTTGGCAATTCTTAATAATTTATTTGAGGATTTAAGGATTTATTTGATATTTTAAATTTCTTTACCCTGTTTTCTGCTTTTTCGATAAAGATATGAATGATTGTGATTAAGAACACACTGAAACAAAAAATAAAACATAGTCCTTATGAAATCCACAAAGGGACAGTAACGCCAACACCCCCCCCCCCCCCCCCCACAAAAAAAACCTTGAACACCTGGTTTAAACTGCAAAATCATATCATATAATCTTATAATCTATATGATAAAGCTCTTCGCTCATATATATATTTTTATGTATGTATGTATTTTTTAAGGGAACCCATAGCAGGTACCCCGGCAGTAACATACGCTATAAAAAAATCGATTTTTTTTATCAAAATTCGATTTTTTACATATTCCACGGACAACACCGGACACTTGATCTAGCAAATAATAAACTGACCTGGCAATGAACCAAACAAACCAAACATCAATCATTATCAGTCCAGAAGTCGGGGGAACATTTTCCTGCAAAAATAACATTGATAACAAAATTTAAAGGATGCTGAAAGATTTGAACCTTTTCCGAGAAACACACTTTGTTTTGTTTTAAAGAATAATGACAAATTCAGCTATTTCTTGCTTTTACGAAAACGTAATTTCTGGAGACCTTCAATTTCTGGCATTGACTGTCCGATTTACAACAGTACCCTAAAAAGCTGTGTCTGGTTCAGAAAAAAAAGATATCCACTATTTCTCACAATTATTTTTAATTTTGGTTTCTCATAAAGGTGTCTTTCGCATTTCTTGCTACAGAAACAAATTAGGAAATTATGATAATTAACAATTTAAGATATAGGAAAAACGACGACATATTTCACATTAAATGTTAGAATATAGTTAGGGTTTCCACTTTGCACACTAATTCGCTAACTTCGTTTTGCGCAAAAATTACGCTATTCTGAGTTTATTCAGTTCTCATAAGAGGTTGATTAAAGGTAAAAACTGTATGAATTATGTGTCGAATGAGAATGCGCTTTTAGGAATATAATTTCAATGCTTTTAATACTTGCCTTATCAGTTTGAAAGATCATAAACATAGATATCTAATTCATACTTGATCAGACAAAGCTTTTACGGGTACCGTTGTGAATAGAGCATTGCCATCTTTGCACAGAGGGTCACTTGAAATTATGTGTACACTCTCTTTAGTTAGTCGAAAAACACACTGTCCTTCTCTTGTACCCAACATTGTCTGTTATTGCTGTTCCAGAAGACTTTTACTCTTATACAGAGTTACCCACAAAGGATGAGACTTTAAAGACGACCTCTTTCAAATTGCCGATTTCACGGGTAAATTAAGTATTCTTCCATGAATACAATCTTGTTAAATGAAACAAGGTTAAAGTATTACATATAAGAAAACAGTCTCATCCTTTATGAGTTACCATGTACCAAGGTTCTTTAATAAGGTTGGTTACTCAAGATGCGCTCCAATGTGCGGAACATGTCGTCTTCTAAAATAGATAAAAACTTGATATCACATCACTCTGGCCTCTTTAATCAGTGACGTAATAATAAGGTTGTTTATCTATCTATCATAGGAGACGACATTTTCCGTACATTGGAGCGCATCGAGAGTAACCAACCTTATTATACACAACCTTGCCAGCTGTACCTTGCTTGAACTCAAGAGTGCGGCCATCACTAGTAAAGCAGTCAGGGCTCCCATATACCGGTCAGTAAAATCATCAACCTAGCAACAATTATATCATGATTTATAATCAAATATTTTGGAATCTTTGTAAACCATTTTAATTTTCAAAATATCCCCCAGCTATTGACGATCATTATGGGTGCACACATGCATCAGTTGCAATATTGTAAGCTAAAAAAAGTAATCAAGTAAACATTGGTTTACAGATTATGCAATACACATATAATGGAGAAAAGCATTAAAATGATTATCCATCTGTTGAATCTGTTGAATAGATGATACAAAGACATCAAATTGATTATCAATTTATAGAAACCTTGATAAAAAATGACAGATATGCTAAAATCCAAAGAATAAAGGTTTGAAAGAATATAGAAAGAAGGAGCTGAGAATAAAGTCTTGTCAGATCAATCTTAATGTAGAACAAACTTTTCCGTCCAACCAGGCCAGCAGACCAGCTGATAATACAATCCTCAAGTAACAATAAAAATATGACATTAAAGGGACTGTACGCGTAATTTCAAGTGACCCTTTATATCCGATTCACAATGATACTCTTAAAAGCTTTGCCTGATCAAACATAGATTTTATATTTTATATTATTTTCAATTGTGGTTTCTCTACAAAATAGACTTGCGCATTTCTACTGCAGGAAAATATAAAGGAAATCTAGGATTTTAACACTTTTAAAACTAGAAAAACGATCGTATCTTCCACATTTTTGATCAAAGGTTTCACTGTGAATCGGGCATTGCCATTTTGTGAATGGTGGGTCTGCACTTAAAATTACACGAACAGTCTCTTTAAATTTCCATTTGTGGAATTTAATTATTAAAACATCACGATAAAGGAAATAATTTAAAATGTTTCCTTGTTTACTGAAGTGATAAGTGCAATCATATGGCTAAAAGTCTTGGGCCTTTAAGGCATGCATCAAACAATGTTGTTAAGCTGTAGTTTTGTCTATGATTATAAAAATTCATTCAATGTAGTTTCTGGCACAATGGATGACTTAACATTTAAGACATAAATCCAGGATCATTTTTCAAGCAGTAAAAAAAGTATGTTTTTAATATTAATTGTTAGGAATGAACAGACAAAGCTAAGAAAAGCAAACTTTATATCAGTCAGTTTAAAAATTAACAAACTATGAACCAACGAATTGAACAAAAATGAACGCGCCCATCTATAAATATATACTCTATTGTTTCAATAAAGAAAACTTAAGAATAGTTCCTGATATCTCCGACTTCAAATTCATTTAGATCTTTCGGTCCTTCATACAGAACTGATATTCCCTCAGATGGTGTCAGTCGGATCGAATTATTTCCTTGTGTTCTAAACATGGAGAACAGAAATGTAAAAAATTTTGAGTTTTGCGACTACATTTTCGGCCTAATTTTTGTATAAAAAAAGGAAATCTCTGGTTGGGTGAGATAGTTTTTTTTATCCTGAATACCCAAGTTTGATTTTGTTCAATGCTTTCTGTGATAGATAAATAAAATTCTAGAGTAAATTCCAAACAACCAGGACAAGACGATATGAATTATGAATATGATATGTCCCAACTCAAAACTAATAGATTTTGGAACTTTATCGAACATTTTTGCGGTATTGGGTTCTAAATGTGCGAAAATCTCGAAAATTGCTCACCAAAGATTTTCGCGAAAGAGATTTAACGAAAATTTAGCTGATCGAAATTTCGCAAAAGTTATTTATACAAATTTTTGCAAGTTATACAACAGTTTACCTGATGGATAAAATTACTTCACAACTCTGTTCATCAAAGGGAAAGTTGAAAATTTGCATTTCACAAAAGAAAACTCCCTTAACGTTTTGTTAACACATGTTAGTTTACAGGAAATATGAAAATCTAATTTATGTGGGGGTTGCAACTTCAAAGGAATTGAGTTTTCGCCACAAACTCAAATTTTCTAATCCCTATATCTTTGAAACCAGTGGCCGAATTTAAAGAATTTGAGCGGCGGTTTAAATTTAAGCCGCGGTTTAAATATGGTTGGTTCCACTTAAAATTGTATTAAATGTTTCAAGATTTAAGCCGGCGCTAAATTTAAACCGCGTTTTGGCGGATTTAAACCGCGGCTTAAATTCTTTAAATTCCATCTCTGATGATGTAAACCGATGATATTTCAAACTTAAACTATTTGATATAACATAATTCATAGTTTGAAATATCAAAGGTCTACGCCATCGGGTTGCTAAGATATAGGGGGGACACAGTTAGAGTTTGTGTCAAAAACTCATTTCCTTTGACCCACAAAAGCTGACAAGTCGGAACTTTTGGATGTCTTAACGATAATCTTAAACCCTTGATCCCAATATTCAATAAATGGAATATTGATAAGGGATTAAATTAATCCGTTGGGATTAAGAAGCGGATCAATGCTTGATCCCTAGATTCACAATACAAAAATTCTGACTTCTGCCAAAATTTATTTCAGCGATTTTTTTTCAAAAAGCTAATATAACAGTTTTTTTGTTAAAATCATTTCAAAGTAATTAAAAAGATTTAAAACACCTGGTATCTTCTAGTCATAGATAGGGTGGTGTCAATCCCTTTAAATTGAATTGATTCAACTGTAAGTTCTGCAGAGAAAGGGATTGGGTCTGCTGTAGGAGATGCAGTCACAGTATAGTCATCGCTAATAAGAGTAGTTCCAAGAAGTCCATTTTCAAAGATCAAATTTTTTAAAGGAAGCCAGATCTCTTCTCGAGCAGAAACTATTGAAGGATAATAAAATAGTTTGGTTCAAATAACTCATAATGCAAAGGGTGGTAAAAAAAAAGTTTGATTAGTGTCCTCTTGTACAAAATTGTCATTTGGTCGATAAAAACAAATCCGCAAAACTTTTATCTTCTCAAAATCAAAATCAAAAAATATATTTAGTGTACATTTCTGTCTAAACATAAATTTAATAAAAATCAGATTCATATGGAAATGGAGTAAATTCGCCAAACCGTCTTAGGAAAATTCGCAATAATTAGTTTTTGTGAAACTGTTTCAGCAAGGCTATCAATGAAACAGATCTAAGAATTAGAGCGGTCAAATTTCTAGAAAAGAAATTGAGTAAAGGACCTGTGTAAAATTTCCCTGGGATGTTTGAATAAACACTATTACTAAAAGTATTAAGCCAACGATGAAAATTTTCCCTGCAGTATCCTAAACTACCCCACAGAACCACAGAGTACCCCACACTATCCCACAGTACCCCACAGTACTCCCGCAGTACCCGCAGTACCCCGCAGTACCTCACAGTACCCCCATAGTATCCCCCAGTACCCAACAGTACCCCACATAGTACCCCACAGTACCCCGCAGTACCCTCACACTTAGTACGTCAATACAATTCACCAAAACCATATACTGCAGTACTTCAATTATCATTTAGGGACATCTTTCTAAACATCCCAGGGAAAGGTTTTACAGTTTCTTTCCGATCTTTCAATTGCACTCAGACAGGTTGCAATGAAACTTTAGGATTAATAGCAAATATCCATTATAGCAATGTGAGTTGAGTTTCAAAAAATGAAAACAATATTCCAAAATATTGCATAGATATCATGCTTAAGAATTATTTGAAAACAAGGTTTGAAGAAGGCAACGCCCTGCATGACTTACCCTCTAGTTCTGTTGTTTGAAGAACGTTTTCATCATATTGTCCAATATTGTCGAATATTACTCTAGGGTCAACCCATTGTATTTCTATGTCCATTGTCAATGTCAATGTCAGTTCTAAAGTGTTGACCTTATCAAATTGGACAATTTTGACGGTAGTGAATAATGGATTGAAAGTGTCTGGAATTTCTGGAGGCTCGTCTCTGAGATAAGTTTCATCAACAATTACCATAGAACACTTCAATTCGTCGGACTCGTCAGAGCACTCGGTGGTTCCATTACAGCGTGCAGGGAGTTCTACACATTCTCCAGAGTTGCAAGTAAAATATTCATCAGAACTGCATGTGGATAAAGTTAACTGTGTTCTGTTGTTGTCCAGTCCACATGTTGTATCTGTTACTTGCCACATGTTTCTTCCAAGGGGATGATCTGATGTTAAAGGTACAAATAAATCTGCAGTTCTTTTTAAGCTTTTTGAATATCTTTTAAAAGGAAAAAACGCAATTAAAAATTTATCTTTTTTACTTTAGGCAAATATCCTATTTTATCCTATTTTAGAACCTTAAATTATTATTTCATAAATTTGTTTAAGCCTCCTGATGTTTTTAAATTCTGTTAAAGGGATTGTAAGCATAATTTCAAGTGACCCACCATGCAAAGAAGAAAATGCCCCATTTACAAAGATAACCTAAAAACCTTACTCCCAGCAAGAACGGGAGACGACCAAGGAAGTCTAAAATTGACTTACAATTATGGGGATAGGACGTTCTCAAGACCCACAATTACACCTTTAGAGGAATTTATATTTAGACCTATAAGACGAGGTTCAAGATGCTGCTCATGAATAGGAGTAGGGTTTCCACGAAACAGTCAATTCTCTTGAGCAACAGTTGCGTGGTTTTGCACGAAATGACTTTTTTGCATGAAATTCCGCATTATTTTCGTATCAATACGAAACCAGTTTTGCACAAAATTGCGCATTCATTCGAAAGAAATAAATATTTTTTGCACAAAACAAAATTTCTTTTGCATCAAGAACTAAGGAGCGAGGGAGTTCAGAACATGACGATTTTGTTCCAAATTACTATTATTATTATTATTAAACTAAACTGCAGTCACTCTTTCTACTTAAACATCTAAAGAAATGAATAATTTGATCTTTAAAAAAAAAGTTATTCTAAAAAAATTATTAAAAGTTGTAAATTGTAAAAATGTTCAGGGTGTTCTTTTACATATTCCAAAGACAGCATTTTCACAGCTGAAAAATCAAGTCCCCCTGAAAGACTTTACCTTCTTAACAATATGTGACACCAAATAGAAGTGGGGGAGGGGGGATCAGATTTCTTTCTTAATAAGGGGAAGCCTGGGAAAGTTGTAAAATTTATATAGTCTTGGCATTGTGTTTTGGTAAGAGGACTAACACATGTGGATGAAATATGATATTGTCATAAAACTGAGGATGGTCTTGGCATTTTGTCTTGACAAGACCACTAGCAGATGTGGATAAAATATGGGGAGGAACAGGCTATAATGGGGATGGGGGAGGAATTAATTTTTTTTGACTTGACACAAGACTACTTCAAGACTTGGGGGATAACAGAGAACACACCTGAAAAAGGGTTGGGGTACAGGATATCCAAATATTTTAATGGTTATATCTCATATTATAAGATATTTGATGAAATTTGATATTTTTTGGAAAATTGAGGGTGTTGGGGAGTCTTCAAGACCTCCTCGACTTCATGCAAGACACTCTCAATCTTGCTGGGCTTTGTTTGTCGAGTACAGAGATGTGTGTGTAAACATATCTGTATCTTTTTGATCAGATGAAAATTCTGGTGTGAACTTTTTAGTGCATACAGTCTGAACTCAACTCAGCGCACAGCCTTCCCCTCTTTGCATGGAGGGTCACTTGAAATTGCGCTTACAGTCTCCTAAAGTCAACAAGTGAAATGTTTGAGCTTTTTTCTACCTAATGGTTCTTTTAGGCTTTTCAGGACACTGATTCCTTCTTCTTGTCTTTGGCTGAAAAGAGTCCATTCCGAACTATTCCCTGTTATAATTCCACCTTTGTATCCGATGTAGTAGGCACCTAGAAAATTTATTTGGTTGTTAGATATAGATGTCAGTTCCAGTGGAATGGAATAATCTTAAATTCCACACTTTTCAGGGAATTCTGTGTTCATCTGAATTATGCAAAAATGTAAGTTTAGATAAAAAAATGGAAATAATTGACCCACCTTTGGAAAAAAACCTGTTAGCAAGAAAAAGTTAGCAGTTAGGCAAAAATCTACTGATTTAATCAAAAATACTTCTGAGGAAGTTCAGTTTTTATCCGTGGAAATACTGTGGACCCTTTTTTCTGGAAAAACCCATGAAGGCCTGAATCTTACCATCCAACGTTGTCTCTAGATAATAGTTGAAACTAAACCATGACTTCCGACAAGTTCCTTTTAGAGTATAAACCGGTTCGGTAGGTGTTGAGCACACAAAACACATCTTAAAATTTACACACTCTCTTGATGTTGCGTAATAATACCCGTCTGTTCGTAACGTGGCACATTGGGTAATTTCCCCTGGAGGTATTAAGTAGTTGTCAAATACTGGTGGTCTTCCATCTTGAACTGTGACCATCTTATTAACACTATTTTTCACAATTCCAACCCATGAGAGAACACCTAAAATGGAATCTTTATGTTCAAAGCTGAATAAATGTGTTAACTTTTGTATAGTGAGAAATGTCTTTTTGAAAATCAGTGCTTAAGATCTCTTTAATTTTGATGCAGATCCGGATCCAAATCCATATCTGGATCTGGATTCGGATCCAGGTCATGAACATTTCTGAAAGATTAACTGATTTTTTGAATTTTGGAACTGTTTTTTTTCTTTTTTCGCTTTCTTAAATTTTGATAATTTCACTTCCTTAAACAGTTCAGATTTGGTTTTTAGAGCAAAGAGAGCATTTTGCAGTTTTGAATTGATATTTTGCCCCTTGGATCGGGATCCAGAAAAACAAAATGTTGTGTATCCAAGCACTGTTGGAAATAATGCCTTACCTTCTGTGTGTCCAAGGTTGGGTTCCCTACATTGTTTATACTTGTTTTCTAAAAGTTCTAAAAGTTTTTCATTCTCATCTTTAGACCTTGGAGCATAAAGAAACCCACCGTGAATCTTGCAAAATTCTATGGCGTCAGCAAAAAACATTTTTTCAGAAATCATCAACAACTTTCCAGAAGGAGTGCAAAAATCATCATACTCCATGTTCATAGGTTCAATGTTAAAAAAATCAACATGTTCGAGTTCCCAAGAGGCAATATTTCCTTTATGATCAATTTTACACTTTGACATTTCAGTAATCATTTCCATTGAAATCACTGAGTCCCACACGTTAAATTCTGATATTCTTCCCCTCAGGGACTGTTTTGGATTAAAATCTCCAATCCATGAGTCCGGTTCTTGTCCAAGCATCATATCAAAAGTCTCATTCCTGTGTTCATCCATGAAATAAAAGGCATCATGTGTCAATTCTATCTGAGAAGAAAGTTCAGCATTGACATAAAACTTTCCTTTGTTGTCTGAGTGAACCCAACAAATATGATCCCATTTCCGATGGCTAATTTTACTAAATAAAAAAAATAATCGATATGTAAATTTGTTTAAACATGGTTTAAATGGACTAAGTGTAATTTCAAGTGACCATCCATTCAAAAATAGCAATGCCCGATTTAGAATGGTACCCATGTAACCTTAATCCGATCAAAAATATGGAAAATAACTTATTATTTTCTGACTCAACGTGCTTATTTCTGTGAGTTTCTTAATTGTTTCTTTTAAGCAAGAAAGTCCATTTGCTGAGAAACGGTAAATAAAAATAAATCAGTTTGCATAAACAAAAACATGGATATCTATTTAATACTTGATCAGATAAATCTTTTAAGGGTACCGAATACCGATGTAAGAGCATTGTCATCTTTGTATAGAGGGCCACCTAAAATTACACTTATGTAAATGCATTGCTTCAAAATTATCAGTTCAAAACTTGTTGGGATAGGATCATCATTCATCATGTCTTATATTGTAAATTTCAAGAACGTCTAAAAAGTTGACCTTTTAGTGATAAGCTTGGTTGTTCCCAGGTCAATCCCAAGATTGATTTTTCTTCCATCGTTCCCACCATCAATGTCGGGAAATATGTAAAGTCCAAAAGCAGGGTTTGTTGGAACTTCTTTAGATACCAGATACAGAGAAACATAGTTGCTGAAAGGAATTGAGTCTTTGCCACAAACACAATATTTTTATCCCTTTATTGTAGGCCGATTTTAAAGAATTTAAACTGCCTCAAGGAACCACCAAAAACTGTTTTAAGACGTTTAACCTTGTGGAAAAGCAAGCCACCCTTGAAACTGGAAATTAGAGAATTAATTCATCCAAAAGGGGATGCACAATGCACACCACAGGCTTGAAAACGATGCAGGAGGAAAGGCATAACCTGGGCTAAAGCCGGTGTCATGCCTGCAGAGAACTCGTACCTGCAGCGGACTCTGGTTATGCATGCGGCAAAGCGCAAGTTTCTTGAAATGTAAACAAACAAAAATAATTTGATTTATTTGAGTTTACGGCTAATTTTGAAGTTTAACACGGCATTTTAGAGAGAAATACTTCTTACTACAAAACAATGAATTTAAGTAGACTAAGAAGCCTAAACACATTTTTTTTCGGAGAAACCTAGTAGTCTAACACTGAATTAATAAAAAATAAATATTAATCTATTAAAATTGAAAAGTTGAAATTGCGTGTGCAAGCATAATAGTTCAAGGGAGGGGTCAAAAATCCCGATATTAGAACTGAAACAAATCCGTTCCATAAATATAAGTGTTTGTTAATGTTTAAAAAATCTTGCGCTTTGCCGCATAGCATAACCAGAGTCCGCTGCAGGTACGAGTTCTCTCCAGGCATCACATATCGACCAGTTGTGACAAAGGGTTGGGAGAGATATCCCGATCAGGGCGAATGAAAAGTGGAAGATCCGGCACGAGAGCTCCAGCTTTCTATGAGTCAATGATTCAGTAGAATCATTTTATTTGTTATTGTTTTACTTGTAAATACATTTTTTCCTTTACTCTGTGGATTTACTAGCGTCAGTTTTAAGGCTATTTAATTACTTTACTCATACCACTTTTTAATGGTATAACAATACAATATCAAGTGGAATTACCCATGTTTGGAACAGGGCTTAAATTCTTTAAATTCAGCCTCTAATAGTGTAAACCTTTAACATTTAAAAATTATATTATCTGATATAAGAGAAGTCATAGCTTTAAAAATAAAAGTTTATGCTATTGGGTTTGATCGATATAGGGATTAGAAATCAGAGTTTGTGGCAAAGAGTCAATTTCTTTCAAAAATCAATTAGTAATTTTCATGGAGAAATTGTTATTTAGGATCAAGATCCAATAGTTCCTCGATGTTTCTCAGGATCCTGATCAAATTGGAGAATCATCAATTAAAGGGACTGTAAGCATAATTTCAAGTGAATCACTATGCAAAGATGGCAATGCCCCATTCCCAACAGTACCGTTAAACCTTTAATCTACGAAAACGCTTTTAATGTTTTAACTTTTTGTTTACAAGAACATTCAAAGTGTTAAAGGGTTAATCTTTGCTTTGAGGGTCACTTGAAATTACGCTTACAGTTCTTTAAGTATCCTAAAAATTGTAATTATTCCTGTCACCTGACAGCAAGGTTTTGGAACTTGCTGTATGCCCAAAAGCACATTGTAAAACTGGAAAAATTGACTGAAGTCCAGGTTCCCTCAACTGGCCTTATCACAACCATGTCCGTTATCCCGACCTCATCCTCCTAATTTTACAAGGAAAAGCAAATAAAATGTGATCCATGAATAAAGATGTTAATTTTTTTCCCCCAAAAAAATATCAAAAGGAATAGAGTCTTAAATGTTGTATTCCTAATATTCCTTATATCTTTGTATCTTTGAAATTTCAAATTTAGATTATTTGATCTAAAAGAATTCATAGTTTGAAATATTTCATGTCTACGATATTGGGCTACAAAGATAGGAATTAGAAAATCAGAGTTTGTGGTAGAGACTCAATTCATTTGCAGTTGAATCCAGAAGTTTGGAGACAACAACAGTAATTTAATAATATTATTATATAAAATATCTAACATCTAAGCTGAGACTTTAAAAATAAAACCCAACCTTGAGTCTTGGCTTGAACTTTACTTGGGCTTAAATAGACACCAACAGACTGGTTTTTACTCGGGTTTAAGCTTTTAACATCCCCTAGAAACCAGAAGTCGTCCTTAGGACGTCATGAGGACGTCAATAATTACCAATGGGACGTCCGACAACGTCGTATTTTAGGTGTTGAGGACGTGTTGAGGACGTTTAACGCAAGGATTCTTACATCCTCACAACCTAATTTTCGAAGTCGAAATGACGTCACTTTGGACGTCCAAATGACCAAACTTTTGACATCCAAATGACCAAACTTTTGACGTCCAAATGACCAAACTTTTGACGTCCAAATGACCAAACTTTTAACGTCCAAATGACCAAAGTTTTGACGTCCAAATCACCAAACTAGACATTTATTTATCCTATTTATTAACCACTGAGCAGAGTCTAATTTATTCTATTTCCAAACACGACCTAGGGGGACTGGTCATATTCCGACCAGTTTGGTAATCTGACGTAACCCGACCTAATCTGACCTATCTTGACCTAATGGGACTGGTCGTGCGACGTCGCTGGTTTCTAGGGATCTCAGCTCTGGTGAAGTCTTTCTGACTCGGGAATTCTAATCACCAACCGTACCATGTACCCAGCATATGAATCATCTACATTATAGGGATGTTAACGTTTTCATTTTTTTGAAAAAAGATCGTTTCATTATGAAAATGACCAAGAAAAATCGTTTTTATAAAACGACGACCCTTCGTTAACAATCGTTAACATAATTGTCAATAAATTGTTTTTTTTCAAAAACGATCGTTTTTTCAAAAGCGATAGTTTTTTGTAAACAATCTTATAAAAAACGGTCACAAATCGTTTTTATAAAAACGATCGTTTTCAAAAAGGATCCTTATTCGTTTTCTTAAATTTCAAAACGAGTGGGTCGTTTTTAAAAGCGATCGGTTTTTCCGAAAACGAAAGGATCGTTTCTGAAAACGATTGAAAAACGAAACAATAAAACGACCGTTTAACGATCGTTTTCAAAAACGATTAACAACCCTTTACTTCACAAACAATGATAAGGTTGATTGGAAAAGCAACTAAACAACCAAAACTCAAATACATAATCATAAACATTTATGGATTCTATTATAACCTGAATGGAGGCATAAAATGTCTGTTTTAATGATACAGAATAGCATCGTAGAAGAATTACAAGCAAGCTCACAACTTTCTTCATGTCTAATCTTAAACAGTGAATACGACATTTTTAACAAGAGTAGATAGCACTTAAATTCAATTTTTTTAATTCGATTTAAATTTCCGGGGACCAAATTTAATGAATTGGAAAGGTTGCTGAACCTACCTACCGCCGGTTCAAATCCTGATTCACCAATTCAAAGTTAAAGTTTCATGAGTATGTAGGTAATTAATTGGCGAGTGAATCGGTGATTCAGGATTTGAACCGGCGGTAGGTAGGTTAATGAGTTCTCACAAATTATTAAATCCAGCCCCAGATGAACGACGAACAGTAGAGGTCATCAATCATAATTTTTGAAGTTACCTCAGAATATACATATATATAGTATAAATATTCTGAGGAAGTTACACACTGGGCAGAACCAATCTTGGTATTCGGGGTCTTTAAGCCCGGCCCTGCACGGAACTCTGTTGGCAAGATAATAGTGTACACTTGTACATAGTTGCTCTATACACTATAACCTCCTTTGGACGGACAATATGTTAATAGGAAAGTTTGAAACGAAATGGACTCCGGATGAACGTTGAACAGTAGAAGTAGTCATCAATCATCTCTTTTTAATTTTGATGTTAAACACTGCAGGCGGAACTAGTTATAGTCTTTTTCAGCAGCATTTCCTGGTTTACAGTTAAAATAATTAGATAAGATGGAAATTAACAAAAAAACGTGTTTTTCACATATCTCGTTAATTTGAACTTTAAAAATCCATACACACATTTTTGGCCTTTCATAATGTTTGATATACGTCAAATTTTGTAGAAGATATAGCTAGATTAAAAATCGAGTTTTTGGTGTATGGAACACTTTTAGCAACCTTGATTAAATAAATTGTTCAATATAGAGAGTTTTTTTAAAAGGTGACAATTTTTAAAGCATTATTTCTAACAGCGACCTCCTGTAATGAACAGTGTTAAACTGACCTAAACTATTTGATAATATCGTTTTCTATAATATCTTTTATTGCCGGTTTAAAATGAGGAAAAAGTAATTTGACATTATTTTGATGAGTTTTGTAAGGTTAATCTATATTAAACATTTTTACTGTTGTTAAATAATTGAATTGTTTTAGTGGCGGAAGGAGAAAGATCAAATTCAAATATATATAATGTAGATCAAATTCAGATATATATAATGTAGATCAAATTCAAATATATATAATGTAGATCAAATTCAGATATATATGATGTAGATCAAATTCAAATATATATAATGTAGATCAAATTCAGATATATATAATGTAGATCAAATTCAGATATATATAATGTAGATCAAATTCAAATATATATAATGTAGATCAAATTCAGATATATATATATAATGTAGATCAAATAAAATTTAAAAGCAAAGAAGACTTTAGAGAACTTTGAACTTTGAATAAAACTTTAGAATTTTTTGGTTTGACTTTGCGACTTTACATCTCGATCCTTTGAAAAATAAAAGTTGGTTGGTTAACTGCATCATCCAAGAATAGAATTTTATTAGCTAACCTACTCAATTTAGAACCAGGCTATAAACATAACGGTGGTTCTACAGAGTTCCCACTAATAATTTGAGGCAAATCGGTCCTGGGATTAATGAAATCCAAACAAACAGAGATTACTATTTTCAGGGGCGGATTTTTTAAATCTAATGTTTATTTTGAAATTGATTACTACAATTGATGTATTTTTTAAGCAAAAAAAAAAATTTAAAAACTTTTAATTCCTATTTGCGCAAGTGACAGAGAGACCAGACCATTGAAAATAATCAGTTTTCAAAATTATAAATATTTTTATTTAAATTATTAAACCATACCTCATCCGACAAAGTTTTAAAGGACACCGGCCGTAGTGACTTGGACATTGCCATCTTTGCATGGAGGGTCACTTGAACTTAAGCCTTACAATCCCTTTAAAAGTGTTGAATTCTGTAATTTACATTCTTTGTTCCTATTTTCGCAAATCTCTTTTAAATAGAAACTACATTTAGAAGTTTTTGTTATTAAAGATAGACAAACGAGGAAATTTTTTATTTTTTGTCTAGAGATCGGTTTGAAGGGTACCAAATTGTGAATCGTGAATGGAGAGTTACTTGAAACCAAGGAGATATTGAATAGAAGGAGAGGGCGATAGGGTTTCCGTACACTTTGATAAAAAAGATTGAAAAAGTTAAGGATTTTAGTTTTATACGAAAAAGAACCTTATTACAGCGACATTTTTATTCAAATTCAAGGTTATCCTGCCCCCCCCCCCCTTTATAAATACGCCAGAGTTGCCAGATGTCTGTTTATCATTTGTGTTATCGTTTACAGTCTTTATTATTGTTGTTAGGCAAAAACTAGTTCTTCAGCAGTCCAAAAACGTCACAGCAAAGTGTACGGAAACCCTATCGCCCCCTCCTTCTATTCAATATCTTCTTGCTTGAAACTAAATCTACACCCAACTGACCTTAAACAGCAAGGAATATTAGTAAAAATCTGGACAAAATTAGAAATGGGAAAGCTAAATGGAATTCCGTAATAGAATTTTTCAAAGATTTGAAACAGTAAACACTTTTTTCTCTATTACGTAAGTTCAAGTAACCCTACATGCAAAGACAACAATGTCAGATTCAAAACGTTACCAGTGAAAGCTGTTTCTGATCAAGTACAGTGGTAAGCGGTTATATCAATGCAAAAAAGACGACATTTTTATTTGAGTTTGATTGTTAACAAGCTTTTTCGAAATACAAGTTTACAAATAATCAAAGAGACGCTGTTTAAATTGACAGCTTTTCTGGACTTATATGCAATACCTACCTATGCAATAGGACTCAATATGTATGTATAAATGATATTTTTTGATAAACAGTTGTATGTGGTGTTCTCCAGGGAAGTGTTCTTGGGCCCCTACTATTTCTCATATACATGAACGGTTTGCCATTAGCAACGTCTTTTTTTACTAATTTATTTGCCGACGACACTAGTTTTCTAAAATCATCTCCATATATCGAAACTTTAGTAATTAATGCCGACTATGAACTAAAAAAGGCAGCTGCATGGTTTCAGGCAAACCGTTTAACATTAAATGTCTCCAAAACAAAGTTTATGATATTTAGGAATAAAAATGTGCATTTCGATCCTAAGAACTGCAAATTAAAAATTGGAAATGAGATTCTAGAAAGAATAGGAACTGACTGTACAAATAAATACTTTAAATTTGTTGGACTCAAAATTGATGAATTCTTAAATTGGGACTATCAAATAGAACATGTTTCAAATAAGATTGCTAGCTCAATTTTCGCTCTGAATCAGATTAAAAACATTTTACCATTAAACATTCGCCTACTAGTTTATAGTGCACTTGTAAGGCCACATATTGAGTATGGAATTATAACATAGGGGAGGGGGGGCGTAAAAAATGTTAAACTACAGAAAATCAAATCTTTGCAAAAAGGGCAATTAGAGCAGTAAATAATAGTTCATTTAAAGCACATTCAGATCCAAAACTTTTAAATCTTGATGATACATATAAACTAGGTGTTCTATCTTTTATGTTTAATTACTTTTATGAAAACCTTCCAACTTCCTTCCATGATATGTTTAATTCTTTAGCTTGTTCCAAAAACGTGCAGTATTTACATTTGACGCCTACATCTTAAAGTGCAATAAACCCTTTTGTTATTCTTGCAAAAAATGAATATAGAACTTTGTAGATTTTTGTACATGCTTAATCTTATTCTGTTAAACGTACTAAACTTAAAACTGAAAAATCAATTATTTTGTTATGCTGCACCTCGGTCTCTCTAAATTTGTTTCATTTTCAGCCTATGGTTTGATACTGTTTAATTAAGGGGTTGGGTTGCAGTAATGCTATGGCGTATGCTAAAATGTTACATATTTATTCATGGTATAATATTACATATTCAAACAATTTATAAACTTTTGTAAGAAAGTCAATTTTAATGTTAAACTAGTTTGCTAGGTATATCATTAATATGTGGAAATTACACAGTTCGACGTATGAGCAAACTCAGTATATTGATTTGATGCATATCCCATGAGTGTTTTGTATAAAGCTTGGGATATTCCAAGTAACAATTACTTTATTTAAGATTGCAAAGTCCCTAAAGGCTAAAAATGAATTTTTTGATTTGTGTCACATATTAAAATTTCTCAACAAAAAAAAATATTTTTTTATCTTCCTGGCAGTTATTTTAGCACAAATTGTCCTTTTAAGGTGGTATAAAAAACATAACATCTTCTTCATATTTTGCTAAGACTGGAGATCCTTGACTTGTAAAATCATCATGCCTGAAATTTTTTAAATATTTTAAATAGTTTTTACGTATGTGGTTTAGTTTGTAAATCTAGAGCTCACCTACAGCTCGGATTGTTTTTAGACAAAATCAATAAAACTTTCAAGATTTCAAAACTGTATCATGATAAAGTTTGCTTTCATTAAATTTTACATTATCTTTATCTAACAAAAATATAATTAAAAAAGAAAAACGATTGTTACAGCTGTAACGATCATTTTTGCATCGATTTTGGATCGATTTTGGATCGATTATGGATCGATTATGGATCGTTTTTGGGACGTTTTTGCATATATCTCCTGTCAGAGTCCAAATTTGACAGAGTTAAAGAAGTGCAAGTGTTTAGCATTAAAAACTTGGAAAACATTTGCTAATCTTACATTATGCCAAATATGAACCCTGAAAGAAAAACTACAAAAAAAAGAACCATCTAAAAGCACATCCGTGTATACCTGCAACCTCTATCACAGTAAATTGCAACACCATTTGCCAAAACACAACAGATTTGTTTCACTCCGTCTCTGGGATTTCTAAAAACAATACAAAAAATCAGCTAAATTTAGTTAAAAACTTAATAAATTCAGATAGTTTCTTTTTGCTGAGGATAAAACACTGTTTCAGATTTGAAAGTACAAGTACCACAGTCTTATTTTGACATCTCATACAAAATCCATCAAAAATACCGTAATAGACCACAATAATAGTTT